CCATAAATAACATGCCTATAACCAGTATACTGCTGTTAGTGTTAAAGGTGCCTATTTTCATGGTTCAGATTACCATGCTTAGCCTTAAACACAGAAAACATGGAGTTAAGCATAAATATTACTCCCAGACCTGACTGGAAGCTCCTTCTAAACTTGCCCTGACTTCTATAATTCTTAATGTTTTTCTTTTCTTTTTTCCTTTGGAAATCTGAGGACGGAAATCCTTAATTATATTTCTCTCCTACCTGTCTTAATACAGAGATTCTCAAAATTCTACAAAGTTATATAGCTTTGTAACCTTACTTAGAAGTAAACGCTTCACGTTCACTTCACATGTTTAGACAATGGCTTTTAGCAGAATCCTTGCAGGGAGAAACAGTGAGGTAAAAGAACAGAGTGCATCTTTTTTCTAAACCCTAATTTTCTTGCTTTTTCACTAAATACCAGCATAAATTCAATGGTTAATTCTCAGAATTTAACTTATGTAAGCATAACTTCTTTTTTTTTTTTTTTTTTAGACACGGAGCCTCAAGCTATCCCCCTGGGTAGAGTGCCATGGCATCACAGCTCACAGCAACCTCCAACTCCTGGGCTCAAGCGAGTCTCCTGCCTCAGCCTCCCAAGTAGCTGAGACCACAGGCGCCCGCCACAACGCTCGGCCATTTTTTGGTTGCAGCCATCTTTGTTGTTTGGCGGGCCTGGGCTGGGGATTTGAACCCGCCACCTTAGGTTTATGTGGCTGGCGCCTTAGCCGCTTGAGCCACAGGTGCCGAGCTGTAAGCATAACTTCTAACAGCATAATTTTACACAGCTTATCGGAACCTTCTCCTTCAAACAATTCTTCACATGGCTTCCTCAACACTGTGCTCTCCTGTTTTTCCTTCTCTCTCACTAATTATCTGTTGTCTTTCCTTGTTATTCCTCAGTACCTTGACTTGAGGGACCCCACTGAATGGGGATCCTTGAGCTTCCCCTCTTTTATATTTATGTTCTCTTCCCAAGTAATCTCATACAATTTGGGCTTTAAATACCATTGGGCTCGGTGGTGGTGAGAGAGAGTCTCACTCTGTTGCCCCAGGCTAGAGTGCTGTACTGGCACAGCTCACAGCAACCTCAGACTCTTGGGCTCAAGTAATCCTCTTGCCTCAGAACCACCACACCCAACTTAAATACCATTTTTTTTCACTTCTGATTCCTTACACTACATCTTCAGAACTGAACTACTAACTGTAATCTCTAATTCTGAGTTGGTATTTGTACTTGGATACATAATGGGCATCTAAACACATTTAAAAAAAAGAAAAACCCTCCAGATCTTTGCCCATTCCACTGATACTGCAAGTATTCACCAACATCCAGTTTTCCTCTCCTCCAGGCCACAGGAATGGCCACATGACTTATTCTGGCCAAGTGAATATGAGCAGAAGGACCATTTATCACTGCCAACCTGGGCCGTGGAAATCCCATTGGTGGTTCTCCAGTCTTTCTCTGGGCTGTGGCAACTGTAAATACTCTGTGTTCTGTCCAGATGGTGTACCTACAAGATGGTGGAATCTCAACCAAGCAGGGTTCCTTGGGATTGCCAAAGATCTTCCCAAGATCCACATGGGACATGTAGCAAGTGAGAAATTTTCAGGGATGCCAGCATATCCCCCCAGGCTAGTAGTCCCTAACTGTGCTTTCACAAAGTCCTCTCCTCTGTATCAGCAACTTCATCTTTTCAGCTGCTCAACTAACCTTGGTTGCTCCAAGCAGCTGCTCCAAAAACCTTGGAGTCATTCTGGCCCTTCTTTTTCTCTCACACTCCACATCCAATTATCAGCACACCCTATACTTTCAAAATACACCCAGAATCCAATCACCGTTACTGCCTCCACTACTACACTGCTTCAAAAGACACTGATAAGAAAATGATAAGACAAGTTACAAACTAGTAGAAAATATTTACAAAGCATATTATCTAATAAAGGACTTATATCCAAAAAATATAACACTCTCACTGCTCATCAATAAGCAAACAAACCACCTAATTTTTAAAAATGAGCAAAAGATTTAATTGACATTTCATCAGTGAAGACACATGGATAGCAAATAAGTGCATGAAAAGATGCTCGACATTATTAGTCACTGGAAAATGCAAATTAAGTTAAAACCACAATGAGACGGCACTACAGACAAATTAGAATGGCAAAAATTAAAAAGACTAACAATACAGACACAGTGTTGATCAGGAAGTCGAGCCCTGGAGCTCTCATTCACTGCTAGTTGGAATATTAAATTGTGTAACTACTTTGGGAAACAGTTTGGCAATTTCTTTGAAAGTTTTAAACATATGTATGTGGTAAAACAAGAGTGCTTATATATTGATCAAAACTGTCCATAGCAGAAGCTACTTATAGATCTATCATTACTTAGAGATGATTCTTGTTTAGTTGAGAGGTACTAAAATCTGTATCTATGAGATGATACAGCCATTCCACTCCTAGGCATTGACAAGGAAATGAGAACATCATGTCCACTTAGAGATTTGTACACGGATATTCACAGTCAAAAATTAGAAACTGCCCAAATGTCCATTAACAGGTGAATGGATACATAATTTGTGGTATATCCACACAACATACACTACTCAGCAATAAAAAGGACTGAACTATTGAGAAACACAACCTAGATGGATCTCAAAATAATTGTGCTGAATAAAAGAAGCAAGACGGGACCAAAAACAAAGAAAAGAATATACAACATATGATTCCATTATATAAAACTTTAGAAAATGTAAACTGAACCATAGTGACAAAAAGCAGGTCAGTCAGAGCCTGGAGAAAGAGAGTGCTAAGAGGAGCAGAAGGATGCCATGTCAAAGGGACACAGGAAACTTCTGAGGGGGACAGTGATATAGTTGGGATATTTGCCCCCTTGTTACCTCATGTTGAAATGTGATTCCCCAGTGTTGGAGCTGGGGCCTGGCAGATGGTATTTGGGTCATAGATCCCCCCAGAAAAGCTTGGTGTCATCCTCTTAGTAACGAGTTCTCACTCTACTCATTCCCCTGAGATCAGAATGCTGAAAAGCCTGGAATCGCTTTCTCTCTCCCTTGCCCCCTCCTCTGTCTCTTGTATCCTCTCTTGCCATGTGATGCTCCTGACCCCCTTTGCCCTCTGCCATGATTGGAAGCTTCCTGAGGTCCCCACCAGAAGCAGATTCTAGCACCAAGCTTTTCGTTCAGCCAGCAGAACTCTAAGACAGATAAACGTATTTCTCCTTTTTTATTGAGACAGAGTCTCACTATGTCACCCTCGGTAGAGTGCCATGGCATCACAGCTCACAGCAACCTCAAACTCTTGGGCTTAAGCAATTCTCTTGCCTCAGCCTCCCAAGTAGCTGACACTACAGGTGCCTACCACACTTGGCTATTTTTGTGTTGCAGTTGATTAGTTGGACAGGGCTGTGTTCGAACCCACCACCCTCAGTATAAACCCCTTTCTTGGGCGCTGAACCATAAACCTCTTTCTTTTTAAATTACCCAGAAAGGTAGACAGATATATTCACTATCTTGATCGTGGTGATGATTTCACCAGGGTACACATATGTCAAAACATTAAACTATTTAGAATCATACAGTTTACTATATGTCAATGATACTTCAACAAACCTGTTTTAGAAAAAATATAGCAGATATTCAGGAAGTATTTTTGGAAAGCATCAAGTGGATGAAAATGAAAATAAATGTTAAGAACACATAATCCTAAACCTGAACTGAATTGGGAACCCATTATATCTTCCCTCATTCAACAGTTCCTCTTCTGAATGAGACAGTATAGGATGGAAAGGAGGAATAAGCTATCATAAAAGACGGGCTCTTCATATGGAGTTGTAAGGCCTTTCAAAGGAGAAAGAACCACCTATAAATAGTTTCTGAAATGGGCAACTGCTACCGAGATAAACAATACAGTTCTTCTGCCAGTCCCCTCAAAGCTGGGTAATTTCTTTGGACTCATCGTAGAAATCTGGCCTGATTTCTCTTTTTTATATGATTTTCACTTGCCATTAAACGCTTTGAGTCTCTTTAGCTTATTAAAATTTTTTTTTAGAAATTAAGGATTGGCCAGTAGCGTGTGTCCTCAGTTTATGAGTCTTGAATGAAGAGTCTCTTTCCTGAGACTCTTATGTCCTTTGTCTTCCAATTTCCCACTGAGGTAGAAAAATTCACCATCTCTATTTTTTTTCCTCTCCCATTCTCTTCTCTTTGAAATCCTCAATTTCTGGCTTGGCACCTGTAGCACAGTGCTTATGGCGCCAGCCACAAACACTGAGGGTGGCGGGTTTGAACCCAGCCCGGGTCAGCTAAACAACAATGACAACCGCAACAAAAAATAGCCAGGCGCAGAGGGAGTCTAAGGCAAGAGAATCGCTTAAGCCCAAGAGTTTGAGGTTGCTGTGAGCTGTGATGCCACAGCACTCTACTGAGGGCAACATAGTGAGACTCTGTCTCAACCCCCCCCCAAAAAAAAATCCTCAATTCCTCTCATTATGATCAATCTTAGCATCATCCTAATAATATGAATACACCTGCTTCTTTCATAAGCTGCTATGGTCATGAGTCTCCTGTTCAAACTCCTTCATGTTCAAAGCCCAAGTTTTTATCAAAATAAATGCTCAGCATGCACTTATGCCTAAGCAAAGTTAGCCCCCTGGACTTACCTCATTTCCACCAACTGCCTTGGTTAAAATCACGGCCGAAGACACAGGAGGAGGCATGCAACCTACTGTCTGTAAACTGAAAAATAAAAGAAAATCCAATTGTAAGTATTTTCAATTATAAACAGATTTCCTTCCATTTATTCTAAAGTAGCAGAGCTGAGCAAATGAAAATAGGAGAGTATTTACTGATGCACGTGTCCTGTTGGATTTAGACAATTCTATGTGAGTCAGCAGGCTTGGAAGATGCTGCCAATACAGGAGTTCTATGCTTTCGTTCCAGGCTTGGGTAATTTTATTTTTTAAGTTATTTAAACTCCAATTACATAATTAAAACAATCAAATTATAATGAGTATAGTCATTGAAAGATAACCAAAATGGTTAACCATTTGGTAACTGTATATAAGCTTAGGTTATTTTCAGGTAAAGTAAAAATCTTTTCCTGCTGGTGTGAAAGCTCAAGCCTATAGTCCTGGCACTCTGGGAGGCTGAGGCAGGAGGATCCCTTGGCCCAAGAGTTCAAGACCAGCCTGAGCAGGAGTCAGACCTGTCACTAATAAAAAGTAGAAAAATTAGCCAGGGGTTATGGCGGGTGCTTATAGTACCAGCTACTCCAGAGGCTGAAGCAGGATTGCTTAAACCAGAAGTCTAAGGTTGCTGTGAGCCAGGCTGATACCACAGCACTCCAGGAGTAAGACTGTAACTCAAAAAAGAATAATAATAATAATAAAATCTTTACCTTCCACTTTTTGTGTAAGTCAGTCTTTTGGTAAAATTTAAAACTACTTCCAAAGTTCAAAAATACATAATAAAACCCAGCCTACATTTTTTATTTCTGTCTATCAAACAGCATTTCTCAAAACTTTCATCTCATAAAAGACATTTTCATGTTGTAATACTACATATCACAGAAACAGGCACGACACAATCAGATACTTCTTGCATTCAGACTGTGTAGTAAATTCTAGTATCTATTCTCAATCTGGTTTGTATTAAATTAGGTACATATTCCCAAGATCATACATCTATTCTCTCAGATTATCTTATGTTTAAGACAGAAAATAAATTACCTTATTTCAACCTTATACTTAAGATAGAAAATAAATTACCTTATTTCTATCTTATTTTTAAAATAGACAATAAATTGCATGGCAAGCAAATGAAATAAATTATGAGTAGTAAATGCAAGTACTAAAAATAAAAAAAAGTTAAAATTCATATAGAATATACCTTCCAGGAGATCAAATAACTGGTCTAAGTGAAAAGTTCATACAGGGCATAGAGGCCAGAGAGCATCTGACTTGGATTTTGAGTGGATACGATTACAGATTAGGTTGACCCTTGCACAACGCAAATTTGAACTGTGAGGGTGCGCTGATAGGTGGATTTTCTTCCACTTCTGCCACCCCTGAGAGAGCAAAACCAGCCCCTCCTTTCCTCCTTCCTTCTTGGCCTAGTCAACATGAAGACGATGAGAATGAAGACCCATAAAATAAATGGTCCACTTCCACTTAATGAAAAGTAAAATTATTTTCTCTTCCTAGGCTTTCCTTAATAACATTTTTTCTCTAGCTTTAAGAATACAGTGCACAATGCATACAACACACAAAATACACGTGTTAACTGCTTATTTGTATGTAATATTATTATTACATATTAATAATAATAGGCTTATAGGTAAGGCTTCTGGTAACAAGGACGCTATTAATAGTTAAGTTTGGGGGGAAATCAAAATTATATCTGTATTTTCAACTGTACTAGGGATCAGCTCCCCTAAACCCAGAGCTGTTGAAGGGTCAATTGTACTTTTATTCATTTTTGTAAGAACATACCGTCTAATCTTAATGCGATAAATTTACATTATCTCTGAAATAAGAAAAAATGTTTTAATTCATTTTGATTGAAGCGTAAGAAAATGTTTTATGGAATTTCCAGCTCGATTCCATTCAGTATAACATAGTCTTCTTTTAAGGTCTATTTTCCCAAGTGACATTCAAGTAGTCTATCCTATTATGAATTCCTAATCTCCGAGCCTTCCTTATGGACCACTATTATCATCCCTACTACTTACTAAGCATTTACCAATTGTAATAGTTAGTATTCTAGATACTATATAGGTATGATTTCATTCATTCCTCAAAAGTATTTAAGATAAATACTATTATTGAGTAAATTCTCATTTTATTCCAAATTGAAGTTAAGAGAGAAGTTAAATAACTTGCCCAAGCTCACAAAGCGGGTTGTCTAGGGGTAAACTTTTATTCCGACATCCAGGGTGAAAGACTTACCTAGATCTCCCTCTCCAGCCTCTGTGCCATCTATTCCTCCTACCACCAACACTAGAAACAGATTCTCTCAGATACTCTGCATATCTGTAGCTCTTCTAACCTTTCTCTCACTTATGACCTCTTCCCTTCTATGTACAAAAAAGAGAATCTATCTATCTCTCCACCTTTAAAAAAAGTCTAAACTATATACAGAATTACATGTGCCTTCTACGGGTAAGGATCCTATACCAAGTATTTAAAAAAATAAAAAAGAAAGAAAACAACATTAAGACATTCTTGCCTTCAAGGAGGCAGAAGAGTCAATACACAAATATAAACAACAAAATTATTACTATTGTCTCCTGAAGATACAATACAGCTTTCTTCTTCTTCTTCGTCTTCTTCTTCTTTTTATTTTTTTTGACACAGAGTCTCACTATGTCACCCTGGGTAGAGGAATGCCGTGGCATCACAGCTTACAGCAACCTCAAACTTCTGGGCTTAGTTAATTCTCTTGCCTCACCCTCCCAAGTAGCTGGGAGTACAGGCACCCGCCACAACTCCCGGATATCGTTCTGTTGCAATTGTTATTGCTATTTTAGCTGGCACAGGCTGGGCTTGAACCTGCCAGACTCAGTGCATATGGCTGACACCGTAACCACTGAGCTATGGGCACCAGGGCAATCCTACTTTTTTCATTACAACTCTCTGTTGACCTTCTTTAAAGAGTACTCTCCCTCCAAGGCCCCACACATCTTTTTCTCTTTACTCCTCTAAAATGGAACTTGTACCCCTCTACTAGTAAAAGTTGCAACCTTAAAAGTAACTGAGACAACACAGGGACAGGACTCAGGCCAATGTCTAACCAAGGGAGGCAACACAAGACAGCATGACCCAGCCTAATTAACTTTAGAAGAAAACAAAAAATGACCTCCTAGCCACTGGAATTCAGCTCATACCCATAAAAGGAGAGGCGCCCACAATCTGTCTCTTGAGTAATGTTTTCCAAGATGACCAAAGCAAGATGCTGGCATTTGCTGATAAGGAACGTGGCTGCAAAGAAACCAGACCTATCTGGATCTAACAGCCTCAAGCTAAACAGAGGCTCACGCTGGCCTTACCCTTCTTTTCCCTGATTCTTATCTCATTTTAATGCTAAAAACCACACTTGGGGTGGAGATTTAACATGTTAATGAGACATACAACACAAGTAATAAAACTACGCAAGCACAAGAAAACCCCACCTCTACCTAGACCACATCACCCTTCTCCTGCCTCTTTATAACTCTCCCCTCCTGGAGCCAGACTCAGGATTTTTCCCTTGTGCTCTTTCCCTGTGTTCAAACATGAGTCTCAAAAAAGCTTTGCTTGTGACTCCCACTTCGCCTTACTAATGTCTACTCCACGGAGAGCCGACGGGCCTGCAATAGTAACAAAACAGTGATCTCCAAACCACCAGACCCGAAACCCTTCCCCGTATTCATTCTGGGCACCTTCTTGCTTCTCAGGGCCCTGTTTTCTTGGTTCCCTTCATACTTCCTCATTATAATTTGTCTTCTGTCTTTTCAACTTGCCCATTCTGGTTGTCTGCTGCCTCTCCTACTTCCTTTCAAATTTTATTTTCAACATATAGGAATACCACGTACGTAATATTTGTTAATTATACCTCAAAAAAAGCTAGAAAAAAAGGAAATAGATATCCAATATTAGACATGCTTAGTTTGAGTCAAGGCAGTTATGAATTTGGGAATGGCAGCTAAGGCTAAAAAGGTAAATTTGAAAGTATGAGGGACACTACACAAATTTCGATATTCACAGAAACCAAGAAATGTAAAATCATTTTGATGACCACCTGTGCTTTCTCAATATGGTCACTGTGACAGTCTGTGCACCTTTGCATTCTTGTAAACCACTTGTGAAACCACTCTTCTCACTCATTTCACTTTTGTAGATGTGAACAGCTTCGACAGGGCTGGAGAAACTTCTTCCACGTACACCCTTTTTTACTGTGGGGAACAGGAAATAATTACGTGAGGCCAGGACAGGACTCTGTGGACTCCAGGAACTAAACGGTGATGTCAGCTGTGTCAGTGGACACACTGTCCTGGTGGAAGTTAGTCCCCTGCACTCCTGTTCTTATCTGCTGTTCTTAAAGCGTCCCAAACCCTTTGGGTAGACAGACTGCTGAGTACCACTGGGCAGTGACAGTCATTTGTTCCTGCAGAGGAATGAGTGCAGCATGACTGCTTTTGGAGAGGAAAGGTGCTGCCGTTTTCTTCCCAACACTTCAGGGCCACTTTACCTTTGTTGGTGGATTATCATTAGGAAAAGAAATCCACATTCCTGATGTTTATTCTCTGGACCAAATGGCAACTCCAGGTTTCATCACCAGTAACGATGTCAGAAGAGCGTCTAGACTTCCCTCCATCCGATGTGACCAGCGTTTCTTCACACCATTCAACATGGATGTGCTTTTGTTCATCTGTCAAAGCATGAGGCACCCATTGGGATGAAACTTTCCCAACTTCAAGATAGTCGTGCAGGATTTTAGACACCACCAGTGTTCCAATCTGTAGTGCCACTTCAGTGTCCTTAAACGTCACTAGATTGTTTTCACCAGCCATTTCTCCACAGTAGCGATGTTTTCCTCAGTCACAGCAATTGCTGATGCCCACGCTTCTCCTTGTCTTTCAGGGAAGTTTGGCCTTTTCTAAATTCTTGAAACCACCAAAAAATTGTCATGTGGGAAGGAGAAAGGTCTCAAAGCCTGTTACAAATGCTCAAAACTCTGAGACTTCTTTAACCTACTTTTAAAATCATAGGGAATTGTCGTGCAAAAGTTCTCTCTTCCCAGCCACATAGCTGATGCCTGAGTGCCTCTTGGATGGAACAAATGAAGCCGTCCGCACAACACCAGTAAAGTGAGCAAGCTGAAACTTGCCTGGGTATCAGAGAGGATGCTGCTGTCAGCTGTATTGCTCAGAAATGAGATCATGGACCACAACACGGTCTCTCTCAAAACTTTCATGGTGACCTTCATACACCAGGTTGGGCAATCAGGTTCATGAGCTCATTCTAGAAAAAGATACTCCTTGCTGAATATCACTACAGTCACCTTTAAAGTCCTCCCCTTGGGAAGATATGCCCCAATGCCAGTGCCTCGCCTACCCTGCAAAGAAATTTAGGAACTCTTTTTCTGGAATGACCATCAGAGCTGTCACTGTATGGCACACAAAAACCTGCAACAACAATAATGAACACCACTCAGCAAACACTGCCACATGTTGATATAAACACAACTGTGAGACACTAATACACCAGAGTTATGAAACCTGCCAACGTAAGCACATGGTGGCAAGTTCACAAACCTGATTTTTAGACCTCGTATGACAACCGCTCTGATGGTCATTCCAGAGAGTTCCAAAATTGCTTTGAAGGGTGGACCAGGCACTGGCTTTGGTAAGGAGCTCCCCAAGGGGACTACTTAAAAGGTGACTGTAGTGATATTCAGCAGTGAGGTATGCAGCAATTTTTCTAGGATCAGTTTGCAAACTTGTCAGACCAATACATGTGTACATTGTGAAACGACTACCGCAATCAAGCTAATTAACATATCTATCACTCTACAGTTGTTTGGGGGCTTGTGTGTGTGTGTGATAAAAACATACAAGATCTAGTCTCTTGGCAATTTCCAAGTATATAATATACTATTATTACATATAGTCACCATGCTATATAATACATCTATAGAATGTATTTATATAATTTCTAAAAAATCGATTTCCTCTCTTTATTAACCTATTTCTGTGAATGGGATCAGTTTTTTCCCAAAGATCCAGTTTGAAACTTTGGAGTTATATGTGATCCCACTTGCTCCTCAAAAAGCAACCCATCACCACAACCAAGTATGCATTCTTCCCCGTAAATGTTGCCGCCATTCCCATTTAGATGCTTTTCATCCCAGTCTGGACACCCACAAATGCCTGCTGAGTGTTTACTCGGCCTACACTCTGTCCCTTTCACACAGCAAGGCAAGCAAGGAGTATTGTTCAAAACACCTTCATTTCAATGACTTAAACCTGATTCTGAGGCAGGAGTACGCAACTCCCTCAACGTAACATACTAAGTGGGCATTTTCAAACTGGGGAGTAGGACAGAGACAAAACTGAGCTAAAGAAAAGCTTTCTCTAAGTGAACTAGAGCAAGTGTATACTCCTTTAAATTTAACAGCTTAAGGTGAGAATTATATGCTTGTTTTATTTAGCATACTGAGATTCCAAGTACTAATCTTCTAACAATAAACCCAGGATAATGCTATCAGACTCATCTTCCTTCTGGGTCACTTTTTAACATGTTGTTCTCCGGTTCAGCACTTTTAGGAGCACCCTCTCTCTCTCTCCATCTACAGCTTCAAACTCAAACTCCTCGGCCCAGTAGTTCAGGCCTCTGCAAGCTGGTTCCAAGAAACTATGTACCTTTGTCTCTCACCACTGCCTCATTTGGAACTCTCAACTATAGGCGTGCCCAACCTTTGGGGAGCTGCTTATTCTTTACTGATTCCACCACTCACCTGGCAACCCACAAGCTTCTCCATTTGGTTGATTACTGTCCTACATCTGTATGTGTGTGTGTGTGTATATATGTGCATATATCCATATACCAAACTAGGCTGGAAGTTCCCAGAAGACACTTCCTATTCCTTGAATGTCCTACACATGGCAGACAGTCAGTTACTGTTGGTTCCTGATAAGCATAAAACATAGTTGCTGTGTAAAATGATGTTACATTTATGTGGCATTTTATGCTTTTAAGTGAAATTTGATGTTTATTCTTTCAAACTCAATCTAGCCAAAACAGCACTGTTAATTTCCTCCTCTCTTCCTAATCTATTTCCCCCTCCATTAGGTAAATGATGCCACCGATTATCCCGTGGGTCATACCTAGCACCCAAAAGTCACCCTTGGTTCTTCCCTGTCCTTCTCATTCTAAATCCTCTGTACCCAGGGGCTCTCAAGGCTCTACTCTGAACTCCATCTGCACTTCTTTCCATTGCACTGCTACCTCACCACACCAGTTCCACATTGATTTCCTAGATTCTTCTCTATTCTCTACGACCTGCTCTCCACACAGCAGCCAGGAGAATCATCTGCAAATATAAACCAGACCACTCACTCCTTCCTTTCAATTACTCCACAGTTTCCTGCCACCCTTAGAATAAATCCGAATGCTTTACCAAGGCCTGTCTCTGCATTCTAGGCTCCTGCCTACCTTTCTGCTTCCAAGTCCTATTATTCTTCCTCTGTATCACGAAGTCTGGACATCATGGCTGCTTTGCTAACTCTGCAACACACCAGGCTTGATTCTGCCTTGGAGCCTTTGTACATTCTGTTTTCTCTGCCTAGAAAATATTCTGCCCCAGATCTCTACAATCTACATTAATCACCACCCACCCAACCATTTCCTTTTCTTTTTTTTTTT